CTGTGCGCACTGCTGAGGAGGCATGGGGGGGCACATGCACCCCCAGATTTGTGCGTGGGTGTCAATGAGGGATGCCTGCTGCAGTCTTGGGGCTTCCTGCCCTTCTGCCCTGCCATAGAAGCCCTGCACTAGCTATGCACCTCCTGCCCGCCCAGCAGCAGCGGGGACGGCAGTAGTGTGGAGTTGTGCCCCCAGCTGCTGCCAGGCAGGCAGGGGGCACGCAGCCAGTGCAGGGCTTCTGGGGGAAAGGCAGAAGGGCACAGAGCCCTGAGCCCACAGCGGGCAACCCACCACTGCCCCCGCTCTGCTCTGCTTGTGCCATACTGCCAGGAGATGGGGGTGGGGATGAAAGGTAGATATTTGTCCCACCTTTACTTTTTAAAAAGTTGGTCACCCTAGCCACCAGGGGCACAGGCAGCCTCTGCATGTGACAGACTGGGGTGGAGGCAGGCAACACAGTGGCATATAGGGCAGGGAGTGGAAAGCAAAGCATCAGATCAAGCAGGGAGCATGGGGAAAGAAGCAGAACACAGAGCAGCAGCTTAGGCAGCACAGGGCTGGTAGCAAAAAGCAGAGCTATAAATCGAGTAGGGGGGAAGGAATTGGACTGACACTTGGGTAGGATACAGGGCCTGCCAAAAAGGTTGGCCTTCACGTTTTAATCACTTGTACTTATTACAACAGCATCTAGGGACCATTTAAACAAAAGACTCCATTGCAATGGGCATGCAAAAATACAGAATAGCAGACAGCCCTTGTCCCAAAGCATTTCTTCAAAAAAACTAACAGACGTGGGGAATGTTTTTTTCCAGTGGCTTTTTGGAAAATTCTATTCCAGACATTTGATGATGGCAAATGTTGTGTTTTTCAAACTTTGTAGTACAGCAGAACCTTCTTGTAAATGAACGATTGGAAACAGTTCCAGCGGTCCACACTTAAACAATTAAACCCCTATTCCTGGGAAAATGCTAGAGAAAATAATCAAAGAACACATTTGTGCAGGCCCAGCAGGGGAAACGATGCTGAGGGGAAACCAGCATGGGTTTGTCACAGGTAGATCCTGCCTGACAAACCTTGTAGCCTTCTATGACCAGGTCACACACTGCCTGGACGCAGGAGCCGAGGCTGATGTCATCTTCCTGGACTTTAGGAAGGCCTTCGACACAGTTTCGCACCCTATCCTCATTGGGAAGCTAGCAGACTGCGGAGTGGATGCCTACACGGTCAGGTGGGTGGCCAACTGGCTTAGGGACCGCACCCAGAGAGTCATGGTGGATGGTTCCTTCTCGGCCTGGAGGGAGGTGGGCAGTGGGGTCCCACAGGGTTCAGTCCTCGGACCGATATTTTTCAATATCTTCATCAGCGATTTGGACAAGGGCGTGGAGAGCACCCTCTCCAAGTTTGCTGATGATACCAAGTTAATGGGGCAAAGTTAGTACACCGGAGGGCAGGGAGCAGATTCAGGCTGACCTGGATAGGTTGGATCAATGGGCAGAGAGAAATAGGATGCAATTTAATAAAGATAAATGTAAGGTCCTCCACCTGGGAAGGAGGAACCCCCAGCACACCTATAGGTTGGGGAGTGTCCTTCTCAGCGGCTCGGAGGCAGAGAGGGATCTTGGAGTCATAATTGACTCCAAGATTAACATAAGTAGGCAGTGCAACGAGGCCATCAACAAGGTCAATCACACTTCATTGTGCATTAGCAGGTGCATGATTAATAGATCAAAGGAGGTGATGCTCTCCCTCTACGCGGTATTGGTCAGGCCGCAGTTGGAGTACTGTGTCCAGTTTTGGGTGCCGCACTTCAAGAGGGACGCGGGGAATCTCAAGAGGGTCCAGAGGAGGGCCACTCACATGATTAGTGGCCTTTGTGATAGACCCTACGGGGGGAGGCTGAGAGAGCTGAATCTCTTCAGCCTTCACAAGAGATGGCTGAGGGGAGATCTTGTGGCCACCTATAAATTTATTAGGGGAAGTCAACGGGGAATAGGGGAAGCACTGTTTACTAGGGTGCCCCAGGGAGTAACTAGGAATAATGGGTGTAAACTAGTTGAGAGTGGATTTAGGTTAGACATTAGGAACACATTTTTCACAGTAAGGGTGACCAGGATCTGGAACAGGCTTCCAAGAGAGGTGGTGCTATCACCTAGCTTGGAGGTCTTCAAGAGGAGGCTAGATAGTCACCTGGCTGGGGTCATATGATCTCGGTCCTCTTTCCAGCCAGGGGCAGGGGGTCAGACACGATGATCCATTGTGGTCCATCCCGACTATACAAACTATGAATCTATGAATTAATGTTCCAGTCCCAAAGGAATACACTTATGTAGATTTTTATCCTATTAGAGAGTACTGTTCACTTGAATGGCATTTCAGGCAATGTGTCCCATTGTAGGGTTAGGGACTACATTAACAGGAATATGCATGGAAATAGGAATAAAGTTCAAGCTTATCTTCCTCACAGAACAGACCACATGCTACTCAAACTAAATAAACCCAACTTTTGCGGCTGGTTCTATTTGAAGAGCACCAGAAGCTTTCTGTTACCTCTTTAGCTACCTTGCTTGGACAGTCTTCATACACAGTCTGATGATTTTAAATAAATAATGGAAGGAGAGGATGGCTCAAAGGATTTAGACTAAGTTATAACACCTAAACAAGGGTCAAGTGTTGATCAAACTACAAGCAGTTTGTGACAGGAAAACATTTCCATCTGACTGCTTGATTCGTGCCACATTTGGAAAGAGCTGGTAGGTTCTGTACACAAGACAGAATGAATTTTGTCACAACTCTCACACGTGTAGGCTTTCTTAGAAAACAATAAATGGACGAAGAATGGAACAGACTCTATTTTCTCACTCTTCCAATAAAATCAAGGTTCATTCCATTGAAGAATAACACCTTACGTTACCATCTTGGTCCCTGCACTGATCAGGCTCAGGTTTAAGGATGAATTGGCCCTATTTTAAATTAGGTTCACATAGTGCTTCAGGATAAAAACTACTGGAAATTTTTAGATTTCCCCGATTCTGGTCAATACAACTTAGCAGTAACACAGATAAAGTACTGCTTTCTTTCCACAGCTATTTTTCCATGCTTTAGAGAGCAAGAACACATAAAAGAAAAAGGGATAAGAAGATAAAGACAGCAGAAAGAGAAAAAAAATCAGGTATAAAGAAAAAATAGAAGAGAGAGGGTGCAACTGAGGAAGAAGACAGGGATAAACAAGGACATGGGGACAGGGGAGGGAAGGAAAATAATAATTCAACGTTTCCTCTTGTACTATGTAGTACAACTGTGTAGTTTTGCTAATAGGTTAGGCAATGGATTTGTATGGGATAGTTTGGATAGGGATTATCCTGCCTCAGGCAGGGGGTTCAACTAGGTCACCTCTCGAAGTCCCTTGCAGTCCTACTGCTCTATGATTTGACTGGGTCTTAGTTCAAAATAATCTTGGCCATGAAGTTTATAGGTGAGCACTGGAGGTAATTTGGAGAATTACAGACAACTAAACTTACATCTATGTTTGGTTAACTGCTTAAGATTATTATTAAACAGGGTGAATACATCCCATTTTTGCTGAGACAGCCCCAATTTAAATGCCTGTCCCAGACATCACTATTGTGATACGGTCATGTTGGTACATTCAAACCAATACTTTTGTCCCATATTCTGCAGAAGGCCCAGGGAAACGGGACTGCCCCATGATGCCTTCACTCTCTCCCTCATGCCCCTCAGCTGAGTCTGGGGTTCCTGTTCTCTCTCCCCAGTGCATTCTGCTGAGACCAGAGCTCAGAGACAGATAAGCATGCTGAAAAGCATGGGTGGCTGGAGCATCCCATTTTGTGACCAGAGAAATAGCATCACCCTATCATTAAAGTAACTGGGAATTCATGATCTGAGAGGGTCTCATCAGTAAGGTTTTTGCCAGGAAAGTGTGTCCAATAATCTCAGAATTGCTTGAATGTGTCAATACACATTCACTCATTCAGTGAATAAAGAACCAGCTGACTTAGACTTTCAAAAACTTAAGACTAGGACCCTTGCAAGAAGCCCTTAAAGAAGCTAAATAGCCAAGGTTTGAGGGGCAAAGTACCGTCATAAATGAAACACTGTCCAAAAGATATGAAACAAAGGCAGGGATCAGTGATCAGTTTCCATCATGGGAAAATGCAAGTACAGGGTTTTTCATTCCAGGCCTCATGGTTTTTAAAATATTTTTTATGAATTAACTGGAAAGTAAAGTTAATAGGAAACTTGCAAAATGTACAGGTTATCTAAAGTGACTTAAGTCCAGGGA